CTAGCTGATGCACTTTGCATAAACTCTACTTTAACTACTTTGGATATTAGCTTCAATAATATTGATCGTGAAGGTGGATCAGCTTTTGCAGAGGCTCTTCGCATAAATACTGTTCTAACTACTTTATGCCTTTCTCACAATCAACTCGGTTCTGAAGCTGGAAAAGAACTAGCTGATGCACTTTGCATAAACTCTACTTTAACTACTTTGGACATTAGCTCCAATAATATTGATCGTGAAGGTGGTTCAGCTTTTGCAGAGGCTTTTTGCGTAAACTCTACTCTTACTTGCTTAGATCTTTCATATAATGAACTTGATTTGGATGTCGGAAAAGCTTTAGCTGAGGCTCTCTGTAAAAACAACACTTTAACTTCTTTAAATTTTTATGGAAATTGCGACATGAGCACATTAGATCATATCTTTCATACAAACACTACACTAAGAGAATTTTATTATTCGGAAGAGTTAGAAAATACTCAACATATAGTATCGGAATTGGATGAGCTGCAAATGGCCTTGGATCGCACGAATCGCTTGCATAGCTTGATTCAGACAATGAATTTGCGCCTTAGATATCTTTTAGCATTCTTAGTTTTATTGTTGATCTTCCTCTTTTTAAACTGGTGATTTTGCATATGAAGGAATCTTATAAATATTTGGCAAAAATGATTTATTAAATCATTTGAAATAATGAATCTGCATTCTCGCCTTTATTGTTGTTTTTTTGTTTTCCTCTTTTTAAACCGGTGATTTGCCATATGAAGGAATCTAATAAATATTATGCTCTAAAATGATTTATTAAATCACTTGAAATAATAAATAATTTTGATTACATATGGAATTTATAAATAAAGTTAATATTCTTTTTAAATTGATGTGACTTCTGATCGAACTCACGGTAATAAATTGTCTCAATGGAAATAACATGAATTAAACGTTAATCTACTTCTTAGCCATACCTATATTACAATCAACCCGCTTCAAACTAAACTACACATACTGTTGTATCTGTGGCCTTTCAGACTGTACAAAGTTATGTAATCAATGTAACATGATATGCGGTGTAACTCCTAAATGGAAATAGCAATTAACAAAATTATCGAAAATTTTATAAAAATTTTAGTAAAAATTTCTCAATAGCTACTCGAACAAGCTTAGCAAAATTTTTCTATAAATAGCTAGTGATGCTCATTGCCATCTCATTCTTATAGTTAGGATACAATTTTAAGGTAAGATAAGGGTTAGATATAAGTGTTCAAATTTATTTAGAGATGGGTTTTGGGTGTTCTAAACATTTTTGCTTAGTATTTCTAATGCGAATTAACTAGTGGGTTTTGAGATATAGAGCTGGTGATTATGATTATTATAGATAGGTAACGAAATGATTTTTGTAATAATGAATTGATAACATTATAATAAAATCATATTTGATAAAATTTGATAAAATAAGAATTTTATTAAAATTTTATAAATTTTATTATCTATTTATCTATTATCAATTACTATTAGTTAAAGTTACTAAAAGTTATAAAAAAGCTAAAAGTTTGTTAAATTTTTATTTTTATTATTGAGTAAGATCTTATCTCTAACTTGTTTATTAGTATATAGTTTTATATAGCATTGTTGCTTACTTATATATATATACAGTAGTACACGAAATACAAAGGCTTAAATTGTAATCTGTAATCTAAATTTACCAAAGCAGTTTATGTTATACTTAAATATTATTTGAATTTTGCTTTTAAATTAGCTATATCTGGTTACTTATATATTTATATTATATCTACAATTTAAATTAGGTTTAAATTATTACTATTTTAAGTTTTTAATTAAATTTATTTCGCCTAAACCTAATCTTCAAAAAAATTAGTTTTGTACTTACTAGTATACTTTTTAATTAGATCTTTATCTTAAACCAATCTGCTACTATCGCTAATAACCACTAGTTTATATCTCAAATCAAATTGCTATTATTATCTAATTAGTTTTTTGTAATTTTGACATTTAAATTTTAATAATATTTTTGTAATATAGTATTACTAGTTTTTTAAATATTTTATAATTTATATTAAACCATATTTTATATAGCTTAGCATTTCTAACTATTAGTATTTGCAATATTAGTACTATTTTCAACTTGGATTCTTTTTCTATTAGTTAATGTCGGAAATAATGCTGAAATCAAATAATGCAGAAATTTGGGGTCTTAAATTGAAAAGATAAACCTTACTAAAATTTATTTATACTTTTTATTATAAATACTAATCCTAAACCTAAATTCTAATCTAATTATAAAAAAAGGCTGAACAAAACACCCAAAAAATTTTTAAATTTTCTAATAAAGTAGATCAAAATTTTAGGATTATCTAATTTTAGCATCATTTCCAATAGCTAATATCGTTTATAATAGTATATTTTAGAGCTATTTCTTGCCATTTATTTTATTTAATTATAAAAATTTTTAATCTACTTCTCTTTTTTCCCTTAAAAAAAAGCGAAAGGTAAAGATTTAATTTAGTTTCTTTTTTAAAGAAATGGCTCTATAGCTTTGTTTGTAGATACATAATGCTGGTCTCGGTAAAATTTCATTCGAAACTATCAAACAGTTAGAGCTGTACATCTATTTAAAATTTTAATAATTATGACATTTAATTACTACGTTATCTAAAAATTCCTTAATAAACTTTACTATAAGACTATACATAGTTTTGATTTACATAGTACATCGAACACCCCAATGTCACATGTTTGTTCTCGTGATGATTCGAGACAAAAGCTGCCTCGATACTTACGTATCGAGCAGCATTTAGTAATTGATGTACATATTAATATGCACGCATTTCTATGTACCGTAGAACTTTTTATTTTTGTTCCACATATATTGCCGGAGCTTAAAATTAGCCACTACTAAGTTTAGCTTATCTCCAAAATGTTAGTCGATCCTCATTCCATATAAAGTGATTGAGGTTTTTAAATTTATAAAATTAAGGCAAATCTGAATTGTAAATTTAATAATTATAAGATTCAATTACTTTAAGCTTAAATCGTATACGAAATTTTTGTTTTAAAGTAGGCAAAATCTATATAAGCATTTTTTATTTATAATAACTGCAGTAAGATTTATAAGAAATAATTATTACTTTAACAAGAAATTATATTTACAGTGATGATCTTTATTATTCGTGAGAAATTCAAAAACTCTATTCAATCCCGCGGATCCCGCATCCTGCGCGGGATTTTTCAACGCATACAATTATGCACAAAAAAGATTCTAATTAAAAATTATAAAAATAAATATGCCAAAATTTTATAATTAGTTATTATAATTCATAAAATTATAAAATAATCCGTACTGGCGCAGAGATTAAGAATTCTTGATTCAGATCACGATAAATGTAAATTTTTAATATATCCATTTTACATATTTAAATAGTATATTCAAACACGACTTTGTACTTTATTTGAGACTACAATTAAAGTTTAATTATTGAAAATAATATAAATAAAAAATTTAATTATTGCTCTTTTACATTTTATTTTATTTGAAAACATGAAAAATATTTGGAAATTGTAATACTCAATCGATAAACTGTATTTCTCACATCTAAGAGAAAGTTATACACACTTTATTTAGACATGAACCGTTTTATAAAACTTTTTGAACTCTATGCTGCATATATTTATTAATTCTAAATTTAGGATATTAACAAGATCTAGAATTTTTAATTGAGTAAACGAATAGTATAATAGTTTTCTATAGTATACTAAATACATTTTTTTTTTATATAATCCCTTCACATCTCAGAATAACTTAAAGACAAAGCGTGTCAATTTTGATAAACAGAATCTAATCCTCACATTACAATCATTATAAATATTTTTTTCGTATCAAGTAAAAATGGCAGCAGAACCAGAATTGCTTAAAGTAATACGTAGGATTCAATATCCAATACCTCAATTTGCATTAGGTTCACTACCAGCTATAGCAACTGTAGGAACAACTCCATATGATGGTTTGCTGGCCAAAATTATGTGGTTTATGCGATCTTTAGGTTGCCCATTCACTCCATTATTATATTTCTGCAATATGGAGAATAATTCAGTGGCGATGAGTACATTTTGGCTCTCATCTGAATACTTTAAAATCGAAAGTGAAATCGAGGATAAAACAGAGGATGAGGATACTATCAAAATTGAAATTGAAGATGAAAATGAAAGCGCACTACTTATCAGGCCCGTTGGTCATCATGCTAAGAAAATAGAACCTGATGAAGAACAGAAAATTGTTATAAATAATTGGGTATCTGAAGCATCTTTATTAGATAGATTGTCGTCAATAGTGTCGGCATATTACATATTAGTTGGCATATTTGCAGGAATAACTAAAGCGGCAGGTCCGTGTATGACTGATAATTCATTACAAGATTGGCCATATATCCCATTGTTATTAATTTGGACACTACCTGCAATTTATGTTAGGATAATGAAGGGAAGAGTGGTAAATAAAGTATTATCAGAAAATCTAAAAAATAAAATAACTGTAAAAAATTATACATCAGGTGAAATTATAACGATAAGAGCTCATGCTGCAATTACCGCTTTAGCTTCAATAGCGCTTCCTTGGTTAGCTGTTATTATAGCCTATTTCACTCGCCCGGTCGGATTTTTCTGTCGAAGCAAATATCTGACTGTGATATGCTCTATATGGTCGTTCAACAGTATTATTGCTTACATTTGTCATGTGAAAGGAGAAAAGAATGAATATGGTCATTGGTTAATTCATACATGGTTCTGTGTTTGTGGTGTTGCTGTGACGGTAGCATTAATACTATTAAGTTTGCTAGCCAACATAAAGTCATGGTGGATAGATATATTTGGCGATGTTTGTAACGTACCACTTGTATGTGAATAGCTTAATTATTCTAGTTATTACATAAAAATCAAATTGCCGCAGATCCCTTTTTATTGCGCCTAGCCCAAATTATGTAACTTTATACAATGCATATATGTAATAATTTCACATGGTATAAATAAATAAAATTGGCCAAGATATCAGTTTAACCAGAGGCATTTTCATATTAATACAGTAACAGGATCAAAATGTTAAAAATGTTAACCATATTTCATTATATCCAGTGTTACGATCATTTGGGAGAGCAGTACAAATACATGCACAGTTTAAACCGATCGTAACTCATTGGTTAGTTCATTTGGGATCGGTTCTTAAAGGTTCAAGATATTGTGGAATTGTTCAATTTCCTGTTTATTAGCATGATAAGGCACTCTTTATATACATTTTTAAGATTTATCAGGATACTTGTATTAAGCATGATAGATTGTAACTG